CCAGTGACAGAGGAAGCATGGGAGACAACAAGCCCTAGTTTTGTTTTGCTGATCTGAGGCGCTTAGGTGCCTCTGTAATAAAAAGATAAAAACAGGAAACTCAAGAGGGAAATTCGCTCTTAAATGGGCCAAGCTGCTCTCAGGAGGTGCCCTGTCTCTGTACCAAAACCAACGGGAGCCTAAGGCAATTGCAGCTCTGTTTAAGTTAGGAAACTAAAATAAAGTCTATCACATCTGAACTCACAGGACTTGCTTAAAAACTGGCAACGAACACTCACCTGTGCTAGACAGAAAACACATTTCTAACTAAATCCGTTTATCTTCTCTGGCAGGGTATTTTTTCTTACTGTAGACATAAGTTATCCTTGGCAATATAAAAAACTTCTATTTATTGCTTTCCTTATTATAGATTATGGATTATTTTCATTGTGGATCTCAGAAACATTTCAAAATTCTGCAAGCAAAGATGTGATGTGTTATAGCTAAGCCAATCTAACACCTGGCTACTGTGGAAAGGGGTCTGCTGCTTAATCCAAAACCAGCTGAAATGTTACGAGCATCCTATCTATAGCACAAATTGTACCCTAACCATTCTGGTAAATAGTAGAAGTGATCTCACGCACCGGTAAAGACGATGATTCCCAAGGGATCTGCCATACATCTGTGTTGTCCAGGAGAATTATACCCTCCAAAGCTGCCATGCTAAATACATGTACTCTGATGAGCAATTGATAGCCTTCAGATGTGATCCACTGGTGTCTACTACACTTCCAACAGACATTATTAACAAAACCAAACCAAACATATTTCACAAAGGCAACACAGTAGCACAAATGAATATATGTGTCCATAAAAACAGGCTATTCAGGGATTCCACCATATTTTAGTTTTATGAGTAATTTCTCTATTGCTAGTCTTACCAATTCTCTTACTTTCTCCTGCTCTCTCAGTAACAGCACACCTGAAAATCCAAAAGAAACTGCAAGCTTTAGAAGTAGAGAGAAATTAAAACACAATCTCCAATAAACTAGGAAGTGCAACCCATGTAATTCCAGCTAAGCAACTGGTTTTCAGTGTAAATTAATTCAGAGGACTTGGGCTGCAACCAAAAGCAAAAATGGACACTTTGGTCTGGTAAATTATCATCTTGGTAATTCTGCTGAATAGTGCAGAAAACAGATCATTTACTATTTATCATTTACTATGTTTTGTATATACAGTGTAACTAGTTTGCTCCCCGAAGGCTTTCAGCAGTGTTTATAATTTAGCAATCAACTGAAATGATGACTTTAACTACCACAATTTTAATTAAAATATTTCTATGCTGCAAGCCAACACGATGAACTGTTTTCAAAGGCAAAGTGATGCTGGCAGAAGCTTCTATGTTATGAACTATGAAGGGAAGCAACTAGCTTGTTAAACAGATGCCTCTACTATCCCACTTCATCTGATATGGGTCCATTTAAGATACACCTTGGGTAGGAATGCTTTTCTTTATAAGTACATTTCTTGGAAGAGAAGGGAGCACAAGGTGTTGCAGAGAATTGAAGTAGTCACTGAATGCCACTGTGAGCATGAGAAAACTCCTGTTTCTGAAATGACCAGCTCTGTACTGCAGCCTAGTCTCAAACAAACATGCTACATTGCTAGAAGTGACTGGAAAGGTCAGAAAACTAAAGCAAAATTCAAGCAAATCTAAGCTATAACACAGACACATTGCGAGGTCACAGGGATTCACTTGCACGGAGCTGAAACTCCCCATCCACAATGCAAAAAAGTTCACATTCTGATCCTGTAATGCTCTTAAGACACGTTAAGTAACATATTCAAATAGAGAAGTATTACTAATACACAGCAGTACGTTCCAATATTAAAACTATTGCTGAGTCGTGCATTACTGCTGCTGATGCCTGGACAGGATATCTGGCCAAACAGAAGCTCTCCACAACCGCTCCACTTTCCCTTCTGAAGTTCATCAATAACAGCTCAAATCTGTTTGTGATATCGCCATCAATTGGCGAAAGATGTCAACATACGCGAGGCTGCCACCACTAAATCACGCCGGCAGTGAAAAGCGGCCAACGAGAGAAAGATGACTTTTTGTCCACGCCATCAATCCACGCACTCATCTCCGAGCAATGAAGACAGCACTGGAAATAACTGGTTGGTGATTTTTACCCAGCGTCTGCAGGGTGTTAGCAGTCCCATGTGGAAGCAGTAGACGGTGTCGACTCGATGCACAGCTGCCTCCAGAAAATATCACTAAACTCTTACGGATTTGTTTTCCTAATGATCACAGTGCAACATGAAGGGGGAGAGGCAGACCCCAAAGCTGACCAACATCAGTTTCTGCTGCTGGCAAACTCTCATTTGCAGTTTCCATTCTTCTCTCAAAGGAAGTTAAGAGTACAAGCAAGTATCTTGGGGTATTGAAAGCTGAGCTAATATCCCTGCTTTTCATTAAGGTTGTCTGATATTTCCCATTAAAATATCAATTTCAACTGATATTGCTTTCAGACAGTTTTCCTTGGAAAAACATTAACATGAAGGTGGGTTTTGCCATTGCTAAGAATGTGTTAGGGAAAAAGATAATTGCTCTGCTTTTTGTCATTGTACATTTGTTTGTTCATTAAACTGCTAAGCTTTTGGTGAGCTATACTTGCAAAACCGTGTATGTATACCTTGCTTTTAAGGAAGGGCTTTTTAAAGAAGTCAGGCAATGGAGCTGCACTAAACTGCATTTTGCACACACTTGGGAGAGATTTTCAGCTCAAATTTAACTTTATGAAGAATCCACCTGCAAATCCACTCAGCAAACAGTTGTGAAAGGCAGCACAGCACTTTCACTGCACCTGCAGCTGAGGGGCACAGCAAGCTCAGCCAGCCCTGGGTCCTCGACTGCATCAGGGTGTGTGGTATTTTGAATGTACACACAAGCTTGCTCTCTCATTTTACTCTAAGTGCACCGAGCAATTAGCTTCCAGCTAATTTGAAGAGATGTAGCTACATTAACAAGACACAGTCTCATAATCGTAGCCATGGCTACCTGGATTTTGTTAACTGTCTTCCACAGAGTCCCATGCAATGCTGGTAGAAAATAAAACCATTTTTTTTCTCTTGGCAAGACTTCTGATTTGTATTTTGCCTGCTGGGTGACTGTCCTGTCACCCCGGCCCCTTTGATCAGGGGATCACTGTAAGAGACGAACAACGTTGGAAAGGTCATCCTGGTTCCTGAAGCACCCAAGGAAGAACCCAAAAAAGAAGAGGACTAAGGAGAAGAGATGTCTGCAGATCGTGAATTCATGGTTAAACAGAGCAATGAGCATTTACAGAATGAACACATGCAACAGGATTTTGCTGAATGGATGATTTGACCTTACTTTTTTTGCTTCAATATCCTTAATAAGCATATCTCAACTACTCATTCAAATCCTAGGAGGAGATGAACAGAGATCAACAGCACAAGAAAGCCCACATAGAAGCAACCAACTCTGATTTCAGAAACAGCGCACAGCAGAAAGGCACAGGGCCACACACTGAACAATAAAGAGAAAATAAAGTATTCAATAACTACTCATTAAGCAAGTACCAGTACAGTAAGTGAGTCTGTGGAAAAACCAGGCTGTAACTGGGAAATTAAACACTGTCCATAATGCATAGGCATAGGCAAATTAAGGCTGCCAGAGTAAGGCTGTTTGTGCGTTCCCCAGGTTTGACTGTTTGACTCTGCAACTTCAATACTGCACTTCTAATGTAGTTTTGGGTGTAAGATATTTAAATTTCAAAAGCCTTCATACACAAATTATGTCCAGCCCTCAGCTTGCTGGCGGGAGGCCAGCGCAGCCCCTTGCTGCCATGCTGCTGCTGCTGCGTTCAGATACCGGTTTTGTGAAAATCTGAAGCAGAGAGCGCGTCAGGCAGCAGGCAGCGCTGGGCAGGGCAATGGTGCTCTCTCCTGGGTGAGCAGCAGCATGACAAGTGCTCTGGTAATGCTAAGCCGTTCAGATACTGGTGTACGTGCAGGTGATCTGCTCCTGGCCGGGGCGGTTGACTAACAACGTGGAGTCTGTATCTGGACCACATTCTTGACTGCCAAGATTACAAAACAGATCTTCACGCTGTATTTCACGTGTATGAATCAAGTGAAAATTCAGCCTTTCAGGCCTCTCTCTCATGTTATTTCTGTGGTAGTAGTTGTACGAGGAGGTTTACTTCTAGCAACAGTAGCTAGGTTGATGTTAAATACAGAAGAACTTTAAAAAAAAGTTTCCTTTTACCATGGAAAAAAATAATCTCATGCTTGCATAATTTAGGGAGACTTTTAGGCTAAAATGCTATTTTGGAAAATAGTTAATGACTTACTGCAAGTCTGAACAAACACATGTTCCGTGGGAAGAAACCATTTCAAACCAGCTTACTTTTTGTCATGAAAGCTGTGTATTTTTGAGTTTTGTGTGGAGTGTTTGGGTGAAATACTAGAGAGTGGACAGAGTAAGGGAAATCAGTGTCAAGGGGTCTGAATTGCTGCCTCTTACACAGTGCACTGTCCCTCAAATTATTTCGTCTCCACACACAACGCCCTCAATCCCAGGACATCTTACCAAACCTTAATGCCTCGTTGAGTTAGGGCTTGTGACTGTTGCATTTTGTATTTGCATACCTGACCTTCTCTCCAGTTGAAACAAAGTGGGCGAGATGAGCAGTGAGTGTTAGAGCTAATACTGCAAAGCGAAAGTGTGTGGGAATACTCTAGGGAAGAGTAAGAAAATGTTTCAAAAAAAGGAAGATGATGACAGAAGGCGATGTAAACACCTTAGCATCATCTATGAACTCCCTAGGAGAATTCCTCAACAACCTTTTCAAAGGAATGCCACCAAAAGACCTGAATGATTTATAATGTAATCTGTAACTCCTACATAGAGAAAAGAAACTAAACACACAGGGAGAAACTTAAAACAAAAAAAGTGAGTGCAAAAAGGAGAAAAAAGCAACACTGACCTCGAGCCTCTTTTCAAGTGACTCTATCCTGTCTTTTTTGCTGGCCAGGTTAGCTCTGGTGTAGCGGCTCTGTCCAGGCAGGTATAACACTTGGCTGTAACATTCTTCCCACACCTGGTTATAAGCTTCACTTGAGAGCTCTCCATGCCCCATTCCTTGCTTTACCACTTCCATCTCTTGTGCCAGTAGATCCTGTGCCTGTTGGAAATGATGAGAAATAAACTGCAGTTACAATACACAGGATACAGGAAAATTCCTGTTGTTCTCAGTCCTTCAGCGTGCAATTCATGGGGGCAGTTTCTCTTTTCATACTAAAAGCTCACCATCAGGTTAAGCTAACTATGAAATCTAACACAGATGCTGTGGATTATAAATGAAACCCAGGCTAGAAGGCTACTCACAGTGCAACAATCCCTCATTTTATATAATTTGGCCATACCTGACATCACTCTGCTGTAGCTAATGAAAGCTGTGGCACAGCTAGATACTTCATCTTGCTGCAGAAGAGAAGAGATAAAAGCAAGGACCTTGAGGGGAGGGAGAACTGTACAGACAGAAGCAGCTGTTCTATGAAACAAAAATCACTTTTCATTTCCTTTCGCTTGCCCTTCTCCACACAACCTGGAAAGTCAACTCTAAACATTAACGAGTGCACTGCACGAGCTCCAGTGCAGGAAATACTACTCTGACTTTAACTATCACACGTTCAGTTGCTAGAGAACCACTAATCAGATATGAGCATCCTGCTGCTCCCAGTTTAGTTTACAAAGTAACTTACAGTGAACTGAAATGACTCCTGTTGTTCTCACAACTCCTGATATTTCTGACAAAGAACTTGCTCCACAAAACTACACAGGGATCCAGGTCCTTCCAATTTTATTTGTGAATAGAAAACTAAAATATCTTTGCTGATCTGGACTTCACTGGTTAAAATGCATGTCTTCCCTTTCAACAGGATTTATACATGCACCACATCAGCAGTAGCTATCTCACTACAAGCTGACGTATGTTTTATAATTGCCCAGGAAGTAATTCAAGTATCACCAGAGTAGATAAATCCAAGAATACCAGGGAAAAGACAATTACTTACTTCTCCTTGATGGTCAAGACAGATAAAATTCAAGTACTCTTTCAATTCGCCTCTATTTGTATACTGTAAGGAACTATTTAAGGCTATTTAGTTGTGGCACCAAAGCAGTTCCACAGTTTTAATTGCTCAGCATACTGTGCTCAGCACCAATGCTAATCCTTCCCAAAAGAGCACTACACATCAGGAAAAGAAGGAGCATTTTATGAAGGGATTTCAGTAGGAGGATGTTCTAAAACAAATGAAGAAATAAAGTAAAATAAATAAGACCCAAATGAGAGTGCAGAGATAGGAAAATTTCCTAGTTTGAATTTGATTTTAGACAAAGAGGGAATATTACATTGAATTAGAGAGCAAGCAGGAGCAAGAATGCAAAAAACTTCTGCTCATCAGTTAGGAACAAAATTTCCAAGGACTCTTGGAAGAAAGTTTCCAGACAAAAACTACTGGACTGTGTAATAGTCCCTAAGGGAAGTGATAAAAAACCCAATTCTTGTTGCACTTCAAAACAACCAGAGAAAGCACTTGGAGAGTGCTCCTAAGGGAACAATCTGACACTGGCAGGGCAGTGAAACCCATGATCTAACAGTATTTTCCATCTTTAACTTCTGCTCAGAAATCTTCAAGCATAATTTTTCATTCAACAGCAAATTGGAAGTACATACTGTTCAGTGTTTCTCGTTTTAGGCTCTTGATTCATTGGTCAGATATGGTCAAGGAGACGGATTTAAAATCTGTTTGTATATCTTTAGAGTTACTTTAAAGTAATACGGGATTTAAGTGTAGAGATACCACAGCTATTGTCAGAACACAAGTCTCAGATAGCAGGAGCCTGCATAAAGCAGATGACTTGGTGGCACGTCATTCTGTCCTTTCCCCTCATTTTTATTCCTGTAAGCACTCGGTCAAAGGTTACTGGCATGACTTCACAGGTGAAACTCTTTGAAAGAGCTAACCACAGCGCTGTGCATCTGAACCGTCTGTCACTTGGCAGCAAAATGCAACATCTGTAGCTGCTTAAAATAAATGAACAACCCGAACCGGAACCCTTGGTACAGGACTGCTATTTAACTTGGGATTACAATGCAAAACAGGACAGAGTGCCCAGACAGCCTACTCATTTCAGCCAGCAACAACCTCTTCTGCCTACTCAGCGCTTTTTCACTGGGTATGCTTTAAGATCAGTTGCCATAGCCCAGCAGGCTCTGCACTAGCACAGCTCTGCTGGATCAAACTTGACAAGCATAATTAAACTACAATTGCTGCTCCAAGTTATAAGCTGGCTACCACTGTCGTATTTAGTCTGTATTGCCATGAAAAAGAATGCTTAGCAATTCTGGATTAACAAACTACACAGGCAGCAGAAGATGGATGTCACAATTAGTTGAAGTCTCAATGATTTAACGTCAATTTCCAGAAACAGCAAAGTAGAATTTGGTAACTCTTGGGGTATTATAGCTCCCACCCTTACTTAAAATGATAAGCAATCACAATACATTCAAAAATTTACCTAAAAGACAATGCTTCTGAAAAAATACAGCATCCTCATCATTCTGGCGAGTGTCTAGCTCACAGAAAAGAGGATGCACACTTAAATTATCCTTACAGCTCTTCAAACAACCCTCTGGAGATCTCCCAACTAAATTCTGTGCAGGCTTGAATCCACCTTTTTTTGTAAGATTACAGGACCATGACATAAGGAGACCTTAGGTCACTGGTAATTAGGCCACACAGTTCTCACCTTCTTGAGCTCCTCTTTGGAGAATTTCTCATAAGGATTCTGCTCCAGGTAAGCCATATGTTCTGCATTGTTGCTTCCAAATCCTGGGCCTTTCCCCTTCTTACCACTAGGCTGCTCTCCAAACGGGTGGTGTAAAAGATCAAAATGAAGCATAGTAATCATCTCTTTCTTTATCAGCTCTTCACTTTTCTGCAAGTCTGTTAGAGGTGGTTCCACATTTAAGGGTCTCAGTATTGTTTCATTAACCTGCCCAAGAATAAAAACTTCATGAACATCATATACACCAAAGATTACATTAAATCCATATAACTCCACCTGAGTACGAATTGTATAAATCAGCTAAACCATGCAGAACAGGTGCCAAATCCCTCGTGGTGTGACACACATAGAGCAACCCAAACACCCAATTGTGCTTTCACTTGTGCAGATGAAACACCCCATGACAATTCTCCTGTGAAAGTTTCTCATAATGCTGAAATCAGCATACTCAAAGATTTCATTCTCTGATGATCTACTTGGACTGCATTTCCTCCTATAATGGTTAAAACCTTTATTTCTATTTTCCGTAAAAGTGCATTCTGTTTCCACTTACTTCTGAGGGCCGTGGTAGGTTTTTCTGAACAGCTTTGTGCATCCTCTTGAGTTCCTTTGCACGCTCTGCTTCTCGGAGAGCCTAGACAAATGAAGTGTTACTCCAGCTACTGTAATACAATCAAACACTTCCTAGAAATGTCTGTGATACAAAAATGAATTGATTACTGTAGCAAAGATTCCTTAAAGTATAAGGATTTCATGTTATGAAGCCAGAGCCGAATAATGCAATGATACCATAATTTACTGCCTCTAAAGGAAACAGGAAGAGCACAGCAGGCTACCTCTAAGAGGAGAGATCCTAAAAAGTCATTTCCAGCCATCAAATTCTCCTTCAGCCTCAACCCCAGCAGACTTCGTTCTTTACGAATTTCTCCACATCAAGTTTGACAACTGCTCTAACTACCCAGACATGAAATCCACCAGGAAAAGGACTCTTAAATTTGCAGCCAGGACTCCATTTGTCTTCTTCAGTGACATAAAGTAACTACTTCGCTAAAACAACACTTGTGAAAGTGTAAAAATATGAGCTTTATCCTTACATTCCACTTTCAGGCAATAAATAATACGAAAAGGCAGTGTTTAAAACTCCAGGAATGATGACCAAGATTTTCCATGTTCTAATCCCAGCTGTGTCATGCCTTCACTTGACCTGCAGGATGCAATTCTCTTTTATATTACAACTCGAATTCTTTTCTCTATTCTACACACATAAATCATCTGCATTTATTCACTTTTTATTAGGGTGTGTGTGCATAAGACATGCATATGGATGTATGTAATGTGTTCCCTCTCAAACAAGACAAGCTAGGAATCAAATTCTGGGAAATGGTTATCATATTAGAAGATATCAGAGCACAGGATTTTTTTTACAGTATTTTGTTCACTTGTGAAAGCACAGTCATTAGCAAAAACCCCTCTGAAGTAAAAGAACCAAACCAACAATTATTTGAAGGTTCTAATAAAAAAATTTGCATCACAAAAATTAGGATAAGCAACGTATGAACAAGAAACTCTTCTTACAAAAATAAAAATATTAAGTATCTCTAATTACTGGCCAGTATGGCTATTTAACCAGCAGAAGTTAACCTGGGACTTTATTCAGCCTTCCTTGATTCTGAAAAAAAAAAAACCCAACAAAAACAAAAACAAAACAAAATAATCCAGGACCCATTCGCAACTTGGCTGTCTGGGTAATCCTGCAGTACAAGTCATACAAAAAGGGACCAATTCACTGCATGGCAGGTTTCTATCTGTGTGCTACCAGCCTGCCTGAATTTGTATACACCTGACATTTCACAAACTGCGACTTTTTACCTTGACAGAATAACCTGAAACTCTGGGGAAAAAAGAAAAAAAAAGAAAAAAAAAAGCACAATTCTCAGGTGCTTAAAATCAACCATGCGCCTCTGTAGAAAAATGCTTTTAATTTTATTTTTAATTTTTGGAGGACAAACACAGGAGGTAAGACACACACATACAATACATAACACCAACAAATTAAGGAAAAGATTCAAAGCTAAAACTATTTAGCATCTGTGTGTGCGTAGAGTCTGATGGCAGCACAGAAAACAGGCACGTTTTACTCTGTCATCCTGTAGAAGCTGTACCACTTCCACTAAACAGATATGAAACTATGGGAACTGTACAAGGAACGTATTTGATTTTAAACAAAAAGCACTACCCGCATCACACACACCTACCTGCTTGCGGGCGTCTATATCAGCACTATCTTCTACAAAGGCTTCATCTACTTCATGCTCCTCAAGTTCTTTTTCTGCATTTTCAGGTAGAACGATCTCAAAGTCGTTCTTTGGAGCAGGGAGGGCCATGAGACCAAGGCGCAGGTGTTCACGAGACTCTCTCTCCTGTTGAAATAGTAAGATACAATTCTTCTGGATTCATGCCCTAAGGTGCAGTATGATCACATTCAATTCATCTCCATAACAGACAGGAAGAATACACTACCAATATCATCTGGCAATCTTGATCTGCTACAAAATCAACAGAAACAAGATCTCTGAAGCCTGACAAAAGAAGTAGGTTACTAATCCAGGCTGGCCTACAGACTACCACCCCAGTTTATGTACTATTAAGCACAGAAACTCTTTGATATTGAAAAAGAGGTAGCTTACTTATAGCTAGCTAATGAAATCTTCAAATAGGCTGAAATACACTCAAGTAAAACAACAGCTTGGCACCTTCACCTCCCAGTAGTTTCAGTACAACACCAAAGACTCATAAATAACTTTCAAGAAACTGAAAGTGTCCCAGTCAGTGGCCAGCTCAGCCCTAAACCATGATAGAAAGTATGTGAAAATGTGTCCATACTGACACCAAAAGAAGTGTGGCCAGCAGGGCAAGGGAGGGGATTCTGCCCCTCTGCTCTATTCTCATGAGACCCCACCTGGAGCACTGCATCCAGTTCCGAGGCCCCCAATATAAGAAGGACATGGAGCTGTTGGAGTGGGTCCAGAGGAGGCCACAGAGATGATCAGAGGGCTGAAGCACCTTCTCTGTGAGGACTGACTGAGAGAGTTGAGGCTGTTCAGCATGGAAAAGGCTCTGAGGGGACCTTATTGCAGCCTTCCAGTTCCTGAAGAGGTCCTACAGGAAAGCTGGGGAGGGACTTTTTACACGGGCAGGTAACAACAGAATGAGGGGGAATAGGTTTAAACTGGAAGAGGAGAGATTTAGACTAGGAATATTAGGAATAAATTCTTTACTGTGAGGTTGGTGAGACACTGGCCCAGGTTGCCCAGGGAAGCTGTGGATGCCCCCTCCCTGGAAGTGTTCAAGGCCAGGTTGGACGGGGCTTTGAGCAGCCCGGGCTGCTGGGAGGTGTCCCTGCCCACAGCAGGGGTTGGACTGGATGAGCTTTAAGGTCCCTTCCAATCTAAACCATTCTGTGATTCTATGATTTGCTATTCACAAGCCTAACTGGAACTTCTATCCTCGCAGTTCATCACAAATCTGGGGATTGTGGCACAGTAGTACAAAAATTGGACAAACATTACTAGATCTGGAAACCAGTGGAGTCCGTCAGAAACTGAAGCCCCAGTTTTCCTTCTGGAAGCAAAAAACCTTTTTATTATAAAAAGGCTCAGACAGAACTAAAATAAGGATAACGACGTAAAATAAGCCCTGTCCTTCAAGCTAAGAAGAAATCAGAAATTCTGAACATGAAGTTACTTTTGCAAGAAGAACATGCCAAAAACTTGAAGTGGATATTCTCAGCTAGCCTAAAAAGAAAAAATGTCAATAGCTCTGGTGGGAGATATCCAAAGCCACAGTTAGGGCTGCAGAATCAGCCACATAAAAGGAGTTCCCAAGGTGCTACCTATTAGGTCTGTGCCCCTTTATACCATGTCTAATTGGCAGGGTACATCTTGCTGAATCTCCAAGAATGGAAACATCTGTTGGCAGAGCCGATGAAAGAATCTGGATGGGACTCAGATTACAGGACATCTCAAAACCAAGTGCTCCTAATAACAAAAATTAAACTCCTTCAGCTCAATGCTGTCAGCAGGACAGACTGATGAAAAGGTCTTGTAGGTAAACTGGGAAGCCAAGATGATGAGGGATTTGAGGGCTGCATACAATTGCAAGAAAAATGAATCTTTCCTTGTGATAAATTTCCTGCTCAGCTTCAAAGATACAACTAGGAATGAAACTTAACTATGTCTTCTTTGACAAATAGCTTTAGGGTGCTTTTACTAAGCACACTGAAAGCTGTTCTAAGTGGGAAGATTTCGCTTCTTTCAAACAAAAAACTGATTTTATCATGTGATGATTACAGACCTGTAGAAAAGTGGTAGCAATAACACTTGCTATAAAATAAAATTCTCTTCAGAAGATGATAATTAAAACTCCTGAAAAATATTAGAGCACTGATTTCCACTTGTTAAGTATTTCTTACCATTTGTTTCACATAAGATGGGTCGCTGTAATCTGCCATTCCCTCTTCTGGGTTGATGTTCAATTTATCACGCAGCGGAGTTCTGCCAGGAGTTGTACCAACCACAGGTTTAGGAGTTAGTCCTCCACGAGGAGTCAAACCTTCTGGTCCATGAGAAGGTGTTCTAGAGGAAATGCGGATACAGGAATTTATTTTTTCACAAAGAGCTCTACTTGCAAAAGTCTGAATGCTGCAAACAGTTATGTAGATACCATTAATAAACTCAATCTAGATTTCTTTTCTTGCGAGGCAATGAAACGATAATACACAATCAGAAGAATAAAAAAAAAAACAAAACCGTTAAAACCTGCCAAGGTGTAACCAAGTACCTGTCAAGCTGAAATCTAGGCACATCACTAAGTTAAGAGAAGTTTCAGGAACTGCACCAACACAAACTCCCACTGCCACTTTTGAGAAAAGAGATTATCCAGTCACCAGGCACTACTGTGGGATACAGCAGTCAGGATTTAATTGCAAGCTCTGATTTCCCTACCACCTGTGACAAGTTATTCACTCAGATGGCTTAACAGCTGTCTCATCTTACAGTTGAATGACTCACTCTGAAGATGTCTCTTTGCTTTCACTGATTATTGAAGGAGTAATTACTTTACAGTACAATTACTTTTAAACACCTACGGTTACGCAAGATGGATTAAGTCTTAGATTCTGTGGGCCTCAGTTGCTTCTGCTCTAGGCTGGGAAGCAATATTGTCTCTACCCCAATAACCTACTACATGAAAGGCGTGCAGACTTTGTCTTGGATAGAGAAACAAGTTTTCTGTTACCAGCTTATAATGAAGTTTCACAAAGTGATGCTAATAATAATAAACTGAAAAGACATTGATAAATCACAGAACGTTAGGGATTGGAAGGG